TTTTAGTTTAATATCCTAAATATATTAAACTATGTACTCTTAGAACTTCTAGAAATTTGGTTAGTTTCTGTTTTCAAATAGGTATTTTGAAGTTCACTTTCCTTGTAGGAGCTTATCAGATAGTCTCATTTTTATTTTATAACCTAAAGCTTTATTCATGAAAGTAATGCCAGTTCATTATAAAATGTTTAGAAAATATAAGCAAAAAAAGGAAAATAAAAATTTTCTTATATTCTGTTGTCTAGGGGTAGCCCCTCTTTCTTCTTAGATCTCCAATACCTAAATTTCTCTCCTCATGCTCTGCTGGTAACCTTGTTGTTGTTGTTGTTGTTAAGTGCCATCGAGTCGGGTCCGACCCATAGTGACCCTGTACAGGGTTTCCGAGGGTGTAAATCTTTATGGGAGTAGAAAGCCTCATCTTTCTCCCGCGGAGCGGCTGGTAGTTTCGAACCGCTGACCTTAAGGTTCGCAGCCCGATTCGTAACCATTACGCTACCAGAGCTCCTTCCTGTTTAATGGAGTTACTGAAGCTACCAGGACACTCACAAGTTCCCAGCACTTGTACTCACCTCTTTATCTATACTGTATAGAAAGTATATCTATACTATATATATATAGCCAGACCCTTAGCTATATAACTTGTTACAACTCCTCATTTCTGAAACTGCAATGTAAAAGTACCCATAGAGAGTGTGTAAATGAATAAATAAGTAGGCTGGCTGGATTCAGCAGTTCGTTACCCTTGCTGTAGGTCATTCATCGATTTGATAAAATAGTGAAAAGTTTGGACAGGATTAATGGCCTCATAGATGTATAATAAGCCATTTCACACCACTTCCCATAGACTTAAACAGAGTAGATGATCTGCATGTAGTTGTTGTCAGGTGCTTGTCAAGTCAGTTGCAGCCCTTCACCATCCTCACAATTGTTGTTTGAGCTCCAGGATTCAGCCACTGTGTCAGTCCATCTCATTGAGGGCCTTCCTCTGTTTGCTCAGCCTCTACCAACCATAACGTTCTTCTCCATGGAGTGGTTCTTAAAATTTTAACCCTCGGGAGATTGCTGAATATACTGCAGCACAATCAGAACATACTTGCTGGATTCATTGTACTCCTTTAATACCTTAATAATGGTGTTTCTTCCTTAAAATCATTATAGACTTAACACTGTATTTCTCCTTTCTAAACCCAAAAGCACTAAGATACTGTTTGGAGTAAAATTTACTTTTATTAAGATAGGAGAGTAGTGAATCAATGTCATTTTTGTAGGTAATAATTTTTGCAGAAATGTGAAAGTGACAATGCTTGCACAATTTTGATTAGTTTTGAGTGGAAAGAATTTCTGCTTATAATAATACAAATGCATTTCATCATCTGTACATCTTTAGGTAATGATTTAATTTGATTCTGTGAATTACTCCTAATGTAATAATACCTAGCAGTGCGTATGTTTTAGGAGTTAAACTCTCATTAAATCTTTCAAAGCACCATACCTAAAAGAATAGAAAGACTTCAAATAATTTGAACGTTATCAATCAATATTAATAATATGACTTGATGCTAATTACTTAGGATAGCTTTGATATGTGTTTTCTATCTTGAAAGATGGTTGAGGGGCATAGAGATGCCAGTTTGGAAATGTCTCTAAATACCTATCTTTGCTGCCATATGCAGCTGGAAATGAAAATTCTAAGTGGAAAAGAGTAAATTAATAATCCAACTTTGAATTGGGTATCCCCAAAAGGAATCTTACTTACTCATTAAGCTTAATGTGTATGGTAAATGTGGGAATTATGGTGATCTCTTCTAAGAGTTTTACTGACAGTAGTAAGTTGTGTTATACTTTAGCATAGAGTAAAATGTCAGAATTAATTAGGCCAGTGAAATTTAACTGATTAAAAAGTGACTAATATATTTTGTATGCTTTCTGAGAGGCAAGAAAGGAACAAATTCAGTATTTACTTCATACATGGCCAAGTATGAAATTTCTTTCTCAGTACTTGACTAAAATGCCTTATGGTTAGCATTGTGATCAATGAAATCTTTGTAGTTACATTTTAGTCATTAGTTTTCTTAAGTAGAAAAATGTGTGGTTTTTTTTTTTTTCAATCAGACTGAAGCATTACGAAATTCCTTGTTAAGATCTGTTTCTCTTTTCAGCTTCCAGAAATGTTACATGGTGATGGTGACAATGAAGAACATGGCTTTTGTCCAGTGGGGCAGTTCATTCTTCAGAATTTAGGATTGCTGTTCGGGTTTGCCATCATGCTAGTGATTGCCCTCTATGAAGACAAAATTGTTTTTGACATCCAATTTTGACCATTCCCAGTCGTCATTGTCAATTACGAGAATGTTGCCATGCAGCTTTGCATCTGTTCCCTGTACTATGTGCACATCGCTCAAAGAAAAGTCAGTGGTTTGCACTACGTACAACTTTCATAGATTTGAGCTTAACCACAAAAGACTGGTGCTCAGTACTGTTTTCCCTGAGTAAAGGGGTCTCTTAAAAACATAAAGCTTATGATAAAGAATGGAGAAAATGGAACTCTGAACCAATGTTGATGTAGGTTTGATTAAGACTTTTTTTAAAAAAATAATCATATAATAAAACACTAAAGTAGTCTCTTTATTAGTAGAAACTTCTGTGGCTATGCAGAAATAGAAATTGAACCAAAAAAAATCATTTAAACTTAAAATATTTTAAATGGACTTTGGGCAGACTTTGTGCTTAAAAATGAATTGTAGTGCCCTTTAATTCCGCTACATATATACATATATGGTAATAGGGATCAACTTGACACAAGTTTGAAACCGCATAAAGTAGACTGTAGCAATTAGAGAAAAGCTCAGGCTGCATTAGAGTATGGATTTAGCGTTTGGAAAAGTCCTTATTCTTGAATCTAGAATTACTATTTTTGTATATATTTGCATAGTGTTTAAACTTGCAGCCTAAACTACTGAAAATTGTGATTGTATGTTTGTGTGAACTTCGGTTTAATGAAAGATTCATGATGGTTCTTTGTATTAATATTATACTTGGTGTTTGGGAATCTTTTTTTAACTTTAATTTTGTTTTGTTTTGTTGGTTTTTTTTTAAGGGCAATGGGGCATGTGGTAAAATGTTTTTCCTTAAAATTGTATAACCCCTTAGAATATATCCTAAAAATGATGAACCCAAACAAGGTCTAAGTATTCAATTTCCCTACTTGAACAGAGTTAAATGACTAGGAAATTTCAATTCTGAATGTGCACATTGCTTTACCAGTTTGGCATTGGAACCAAGAGCGCATGTGGCTGGCAGTAGATTGTAAAGTAGAAAATCCAACTTTCCCATGTCAGTAATCAGTACATGAAGTGGCAAATACAACAGTTACTAGAATAACTTCCATTGATACCGTGATTGTCATGGTACCAAGTGACTTGAATATACATTTAAATAACAAAGTTAAGATCACTTGACCATTCTGTGCCATGATAAGCTGTTGGTGTCTGGTAGGGTTTACTGTCTCTTTTAAGCAATGTGTGTTCCTAACATAATTGTGAATGATTTGTGAGAAGTGCAAGCCATGTTTATCCTGAATTTTGACCTAATAACTTGTAGTACTAGTCAAATGCATGTACCTTTTTGTTTACACATTGTGCCATATGATCTTCATTTATGCCAGGTAAACTGTATTTGAACTGTGCAGCCGGTTTTGTTTTAATCTGTTTGGCAACCAATGTAGCTGCTTTGAAAAATTGTATTCAAACCTAAGAGCCAAACTTCTTCCATTCCATTGAAAATGTTTTTATTTAGTCCTCCTCCTTTTCCCTAATTCCTTCTTTCTTAACCCCATGAACTTTAAAACAAAAAACCAAAACTCTCAGAGCAGCACGTGCATTGAGGTATTGAGAGGTTATTGCAGTGTTTCTTTCTTCTTTAGGCTGTAAGCAGGGGGATTTAGGTGGTGGTGTTTCCTTAATTTATGCTTAATATTTGAAACTATTCTTTCTGACTTTTTCCATGAACGCCTTATAACAAGTGGGATTTTATACAGACATTATTTTCATCATTGGGCATTGAATTAGGACAGTCCTCATCTCATTGCTTGGCACTTCACAAGCAACCTACCTAAAAGGTGCTGATATTTTATTTAGTACTGCCAACTTCAAGTGAGTCAGATGTCTTGCGTCCTGAACCAGATATATTTATAGTTCATTTTGGGGAGTTTTTACACCCAAGGAGTCTGCATTCCAGCATTAAATTAGCATCATTAAAAAAAATAAAAACAAAAAAACAACTTTTTATGCAAAGCAACAGCTGGAATATACTCCCAGTCTTAAAATAAATGCCTGACTTAAAGCAAATGGATTATATTGAAGTATATAAAGTTTTCTATTTTCTCAAAAACGGTATTATCTTTATTTGCTAGAATTTTTTAAACCTTTTAAGAGGGCTGTAACAGTTGCTGCTAGTATTTTTTTAGAGTTTCACCAGTATTTCATTTTCACATCATTCTAATGTATAGTTTCTAGTCTTACTAGACAATCTGAATTCCACTACATTTCTGTTTGGCTCCAACATTCCATTTAGCTTGACCAGTCTAATTTAACATGTCTGTTGGAGGTCATTAATGTTACTTGTACAATGCTGTCACTGTGTGACATCCATATGAATTTTGGTGTATATCACATTGCATACAATCAGCTGTGATTATGCTTAGAAATACTGTAGTAACTAGATACAGTGTGAATTGTTCCATTACAGTAAGTCAGTGGCTTCTGTGTGATTATGGTCCTGCAAGATGATACTTGCTAATATAGCTAAACTTTTTTTGTTGTAACTGAATTTTTTTTTTTTTAAATTTATAAAGCTGGAAATGATCAAATGCTGGGGTTTGTTTGTTTTGTTTTTTTCATTGTCGACAGTGGTGTGCCATTTTATGTATGTTCCCTATGTTCCTATTGCTTATGGAACTCCTAAAATAAAGTTATTCAAAAAGAAAATATATCGGTGTGTTTTCATTAGCCTTTATTTCAGAACATTTACTTATACTGAAGTATGAATTATTTAAAATTTAGGCTACTTTTGCACATAAATACATTCATAATTGAGTATAATTCACGTTGAATTATAGTTTAAAAAGTAAAACATACTTTTCTATTCAGCCCTCTGAGAAGAAATAGGAACAGGGAAATGACAACTGGTTATGAATTCAGTTGACATAACAGTGCTACCCCCCGTCCGATCCAGTGCTCCTTGGGTTGGTCACTGGGAAGCGCCATGGCGATCACAAAGTTGGTAGAATGGCCAGTGGTGGACAATGTTCCTCTCCGCTCACTTGTCTTGTACAGGGGAGCAACATAACTTGGTCTTTCTGGTATATCTAATCTCTTACAGGGCTTTAGCCACATCTGGAAGAAAATGGATGAAATCTCTGAAACCAGGGTTGTTGTGTTTAGCACATACTCAAGCCTAATATATAGTCAAAGTAAGGTCTGGTAAATTGTCTATAATTTCTGTGGCCCCAAGTTTTTATCTTCAAGCAGTGTGCCATTGCTCAAATCCTTTTCTTAAGACTCAGAACTACCTTCAGAACTGGTTTGGAAACTAAATAAGAACAAATAGGTCTATGACATTCTCACCTACTCTATCAGAAAGCTGATGACCTCTTCAGCCATACTTAATGTGGAGATGACTTTTGGCACTTAAAACAACAACAAAATCATAGACTTTCAAAGAAAAGACAACTCACTATTGTTACTAAAAAGCATACGCCTTTATAAATTGGTGGCCAGTCATCTTAAAAACTCTGAAGTATGACTAACTAGAATTCACTCCTCCCTCTCCCCACCCCTATTTTAGATAACCATTTTAAAGGAAATACTCATGTTAAGGTATTTGTTTAAAATCACATTCCTTTCTAATAACCATAAGCCCATTTTTTTTATTCATTAAACAAGATACTAGAATGTTAAAGAGTACAAATCTTTAATGAACCTCACCTAATCTCAAGGATGAGTGGATTGTGAGAGAAATTAATCTCTGAGTATGGGTAAAGAAGAAACCTATAATCATAAATGTGAAGTAGAATGCTTTGTGTTAAAATGTAATGGTATTTATTTTTATGTGGTAATAACAGAAGCAGTCCTTGAGATGACGTGGTTTGCCAGCCACCTTTTAAATTGCTCAGGTCAAAACACAAACAAGGAGCCAATAAAAACGGAGGTCTGTATTTCTCCACATCATTGTATAATGCAATCTGTGTCTTTGAGAGATCCATAAAACAGTTTTAAAGATACAGCTATGATGTAAGGACTCATATCACTTGAAAATTGGGTGGTCTTCATTTTAACAAAGAATGGATTTTCCTAATTTTTTTTTTTTTACTAGTGGACTTCCTTCTTCAGGAGAATCATTACTCATTTGTAAACAAATGCTGCAACACGACAAGGACTTGTGTGACTGAATAATTGATCATTCCCTAAGCCCTGAATTTGCACATTTTTGCTTATGATTTTCACTTTAGGTCTCACATTTGAGCCTTTTGCTAGCCCACGATATCTTAGTATTTCTGGTACATTCTCCCAACTTGCAGTTGGGCCTTCACTCTCCCCATTGTAGCTGCTCAGAAGCAGAGTTGTGCCTGCCTTTGAGCTGCTTCCTGGGCCACCTAAACAATTTATGTAATTCCCATAACCTATACAAATGTGAGTCATACAGTACTGCTACTAGGGTTCCAATTCATGCATGAACAGGCTTATTCTAAAGAAAATGTGTTTAAACTTGTTTCTGCGGTCATTTGATGGCTGCAGACAAGTACTCTAAATCTCATTAGAGAGCCTTCAAAAATCAGGTCATATCAAAATGGCTTCTGGGGGGGATCAGCTCAGAAGGCTATGTTGTTAAGTGTAGCCGTGTGGATTCCAACTCATAGTGACCCTGTATAGGGTTTCTGAGGAGCAGCTAGTGAGTTTGAACCACCCACCTTATAATTCAAACCAACCTTGTGGTCGAGTGCTTATCCAACAGTGCCACACTGCCAACTCCTTGTGTGGTTCCAAAAGGGTTATCTTGATTGGTGTTAAGTGCCATCAAGTTGGTTCTGACTCATAGCGACCCTGTTTAGGCTTTCAGAGGAACAGCTGGTGGGTTTGAACTGCTGATCTGGTGGTTAGCAGTCCAGTGCTTTTCCTACAGCTGCACACCAAGTAATCTTGGTAGATTTTCTCAAAGCACAACCACAAGGCCTTAGGACGTTTTAGTGAAAACTAAAACTTTTGCGTTGGCAAGCAAAAGGCCAGGAAAGTTATGCCGTGATTTATTTATTTATTTATTTCTATTATGAAAATGTATTTGAGCATGCTTAGAGGGCAGCAAGGGCTGTCCTAAGAGTTTTGTTAGGAAGCCTTACCCCATCCACCCTACAGCCCTGATCTTGCTTGTTCAGACTGATTTTTATTTCCCAAACTCAAAAGAACACTGAAAAGGAACATGATTGAGGTCATTTTGACCGCATGTAAATAGAAGAGGGCAGAATTATGTGAAGGGTTAGAGATGGAAATAGTCATTAAAAGAACATAGACCTAGATGGAGGAAGACGACCCATTTTAATATTTTTATTGAACAAATGATTCTATGATTTTTTGTAGCAATACATTTTTGACTTTGTCACATCATCTCAGACCCACCTTCATATTAAGTGAAACTGTATAGTCATCTTCTCATAAGGCAGTGTCAGGTGAAACACTAATATTTATCCAACCTAATCTGCCTATGCTGAAGATGGAAGCATGATGGCACCATATGATAAATACTAGACTGTAAACCACGAGGTCCATGGTTCGAGCCCACACTCCACTCCGCAGGAGAAAGGAGAGGCTTTCTGCTCCCTCGAAGATTTAAAGCCTCAGAAACCCTATACAGGATCATTGTGTTGAACTGACTTGATGGCACTTAACAATGCTGAAAATACGTGCCTGGAAAAAGTAGCTTTTTTAGCATATGACTTCCATGTAGGAATCTTTCAGTCTTCAAGTTTTATTACCTTTTTAGGTCAATACGTGTGTGTGTGTGTGTGTACACATATATATGAAAATATATTGAACATGTATGTACTTGTGTAGCTTCCGTCATCCCCACTGAAGATTAGAAAATACTAACCACAGGTACTGTATCATAAAGAATTTTGGGATGAGATTCTGCAAGTTTCTTGATCTTTCTATTCCAGGAAGCTCCATCCAGAAACAATCCATAAATGAAAACACCTAGTTGTAAGAGACATGGGTTAATACAGCATTTTCAACAAGCATATTGATTGAGATACTCTGAATCTAAAATTCCTACATGGGAATACTACGCAGATAAGAGGTTAGCAGATTTAAGACTTGCTCTGGTAGCGTAGTGGTTACGAATCCGGCTGTGAACCACAAGGTCAGAAGTTCGAAACTACCAGCTGTTCCTCAGGAGAAAGATGAGGCATTCTGCACCCATAAAGATTTACAGCCTCGGAAACCCTGTACAGGGTCACTGAGTCAGAACCGACTGCACGGCACATAACCACCACCACCTACAACAAAAGCAATTGTTCTGAGTGCTTTGTTTTAAGGGCTGGCCATGTTTCAAGAACATCTTTACTTTGCCTAGTGAGTGACATCATGCAATTGCAAAATTAGGGGTTGCTTCTAAGTCTAAATGGAAGACAAAGACAAGAAATTCTAAATTAGGCTGTGGGCACTCCTCGATTTGAGCACTATATCAGATTTGCCAGTGAATATAAAATGTTGTCAAAGGCCATGAAAGCTGTAAGAAAAAGAATTAAAAGGATCCCAGTGGCCACCAGGCTGCATATGCACACCATACTGTTCTGCACATCTTTAATGTAGTGAGAAATAAAATCTTCCTCTTTAAAATTGCTCGTCATTGACAAGAGCTCATCTTAGTCTGTATGATGGGAGGACACAGGGATGAAGTCTCTCTAGAAAACAGTGTCACACAGTAACATCTGAAGATGAACATGGATTAGGGAATTAATGAAATGCAGATAGCTTTCTGTGGTGCTGCATTTGTGTAAATATTGGTATCTACATGAAAATAAGAAAATTGTAATCAATATGAAAAAGCATTGGAAGAAGTGCGGCCAGAGTGCTCCTTGGAGGCCAAGATGGCCAAACTTTGTCTCTCATACTTCAGACATATAGTCAGGAGGGACCAGTCACTGGAAAAGGATCTCATGTTTTGTAGGGTGGAGGGTCAGAGAAAAAAAGGAAGACACACAACGAGATGGATTGACCAAGTGGCAGCATCAACGGGCTCAAGCGTGGCAACAGTAGTGAGGTTGGCCTGCGATCGGGCAGTGTTTCATTCTGCTGTGCATAGGGTCGCTATGAATCGGTACCGACTCAATGGCACCTAACAACAAAAACAACACATGAAAATATTCACTAGAGCTGTTGCATATATGTGAATGGAAGTAATAATGACATGTAGAAAGACAGGTTTTAGATCCTAATCTGTGCAATTGAGAAATTTATCTAATCTGAGGACCTGTTAGAGATTTGTAACACAAGAATGCTTGCTTTGTCTATTTTGTAGAGTTGTTGGGGTCCAATCAGTGAGTATAAAGCAGTGCATCATGTATCATGTTAATATCTGCTGGAGCAATGATGTCCAGCAAGACTTCCTGCCGTGGTGGAAATGCTTTACATTTGCACTGCCTGACATAGTTTACGTGTGTCCACTGAGCACTTCAAATGTGCCTATGATGACTGTTGTTGTTGTTGTTAGGTGCCATCAAGTTGGTACCGACTCATAGTGACCTTATGCACAGCAGAACGAAACACTGCCCGGTCCTGGGCCAGCCTCACTTCTGTTGCCACTCTTGAGTCCACTGATGCTGCCACTTAGCCAATCCATCTCGTTGGGGTCTTCCTCTTTTTCTCTGACCCTCCACCTTACCAAACA